GGACTATGCAGAGACTTTTGCTCCAGTAGCAAAGATGAACTCTATCAGGATTCTTCTTTCATTGGTAGCAAATCTTGACTGGGAACTTCACCAATTGGACATCAAAAATGCTTTCTTGAATGGTGACCTAGAAGAGGAAGTGTACATGACCCAACCTCCAGGTTTTTGTGCCAAAGGCAATGAATAGAATGTGTGCAGGTTAAAAAAATCTTTATATGGGCTGAAACAATCACTTCGGGCCTGGTTCAGTAAGCTCCACTTAGCGGTTCAACAGATGGGATTCAAACAATGCCAGTCAGACCACACCCTATTTGTGAAGAAAGGTGAAGGGAAAATTGCAGCTCCAGTTGTGTATGTGGATGACATAGTGATCACAGGAGATTGGGACGCTGAAATACAGACTAAAAAAATTCTTAGCCACTCAATTTGAGGTGAAAGATCTAGGTCCCTTACGGTATTTTCTTGGGAATGAAGTTGCCCGCTCTCACAAGGGCATCTTTATTTCCCAACAGAAATATGTACTAGATCTACTAGAAAATATAGGAAAACTAAGAGTGAGACCAATTGACTCACCAATTGAACCTAACCATCAACTGGGAGACAGTCAAGGAGAGTTCTTGAAAGATGTGAAGAAGTTTCAGAGACTTGTAGGGAGACTCTTGTATTTGTCTATGACCAGGCCTGATATTGCTTATACAGTGGGTGTCCTTGGTCAGTTCATGCACAATCCTAGGACAACTCACCTTAAAGATACAGAGAGGATCCTTAGATACCTAAAAAAGTTTCCTGGAGCTGGTTTGTTGTTCCAAAAACATGGACATTTAAATGTGGAAGTATATATTGATGTTGATTGGGCAGGGGCAGTTAATGACCAAAAGTCTACTAGTGGGTATTATGCCTTTGTAGGAGGAAACCTAGTAATCCTAGTCACACGGAGAAGTAAGAAGCAAAGTGTGGTGGCTAGATCTAGTGTTGAAGCAAAATATAGAGTTATGTCTCATGGGGTTGCTGAAATCTTGTGGATAAGAAATTTGTTAGGTGAACTGGGTTTTGTAGTTAGCAACCCAGTTCTCCATGATAGGACAAAACACATTGAAGTGGACAATCATTTTATTAGAGAAAAACTTGTGAATGGAGAAGTGTGCACCCCATATGTCAGCTCTGAAGAACAACTTGCAGACATCTTCACCAAAGGTCTTCATCATGTGTGGCATAATGATTTGTGTGACAAGTTGGGCATGATTGACATCTATGCTCTAACTTGAGGGGGAGTGTTGAAATAATTTAATTTATTTTGTTAGGGCCTGTTTGGTTGGTTAAAGCATTTTTTCTTCTATTATTGTATTTAAAATACAGCAGGGGCACAAGTGTCTTTTCCCCTTTTATTTTCTGCCACCCTATATATTATAATAGAAACTAGCACCGCCAGTACTGTTCTATTGGCCTCTAATCCTTCTTCTTCCTTTCTCTCTTCTCTTCTTCTCCTCTTCTCTTTTCTTCTCTTCTCCTCTCTTCTTCTATATTTTTCAATCAGATTTATTGTCAAGAACACACAAGGATAAAAATTCAGCAACCAAAATTCCGTAAATACTAATAATAAACAAGAAAATCCATATATATCACCATGTTACCATGCCTAGCAATCACATCCTCTAAACAAAGCCTTGTCCCACAATTTGGGGTCAGCAACATTGCATTAATGTGTAAATGGGATTGAACCCATATACAAAAATGCATGGTCCCAACTATGAGCCTATGACATGCATAAAGGATGCAAAAATGCTTAAACATGCTTTTCCATATGATGCCTTTATCTACACCAGACTTCCCACGATAAAAACAGTTGAGATTCTACCATACAAGTTTCTTTGTCTGTTAACACTTCCAATTTTTGTGCTCTCTTCCAGTCTTTTGACCAAACTCTTAGTCAATTACCTTTTCCTATATATCATTATTTTTTCCTACAATAACTCATCAATCAATTAAAAAATGAGCATTCACCATTGCTGCTTTACAAAATTGGTTATAAACAAGTCTATATCATTTATCAAAAAAAAAAAGTCTAGTATAGTATATTAGTAGATTGTGTCAAGGCAAAAGGTCTCTTTGCCAGATTCTGATGGAACTCACTTCAAAACAGTACAAAACAAAATAACAATAAAGAATAGTCACGAAAGAAACTACATCAGTAGGATAAAAAACAAACTACATTTCAAAAGAAAAGTAGACACATCTCACTAACCTTCCAATACTTTATAGTTTTGTCATTGGTTGATAGGAGGAAAAGAGCACCATTGGCTGTTTGACACCACCGTACTTTATTAATTTTCTCCTCTATTTCCAAGCTTTTGAGGTAGTCAAACTAATGAAAAATGTAATTAAGATAATAATTAATGTATATAGGTAATAGAGTCAGCCATATTTTTAATCATCAAGCAAAAGAGCAGCAATCCACATGAAATACCTCAGGTTCATGACTCTGGAACTCTGTCTTGTATCGAAATTCAGGATGCCAAGCAATGGCATGGTCCATCTTTTCTTTGTCCTTTCTGAAGGCATGCTGCATTGAGCAATTTCTAAACTGAAACTAACCATATTTCAAATAATTAAAACCAGACTATCAAAGAAATAGGCAACCTTACATCTTTTCCATCTGTCCTTTCGAACAGAACAACCCGGCCTCCACGATCTCCAGTTGCAAGATGCTCACCACTTTTGTCAAATTCAATAGCAGATATAATATCAACTGCAAATGATATAGAAGGTAAAAGGCATAAGATATTATATTATAATATATTATATTATATATATATATAAAAGGGCATAAGATATTATACTACCAGAACTAGAGTTTATATGAGTCTCAGTTTGACATTGAACAATGAAACCAAAGATGAAACAATTAAAAGAAATGGTATCAATCATAGAACGGATTAGCAACATATAAGCAAAACCCCTTGCATGGACTCTGTTGAGCAAGAGCAAGAGAAGAGAGGAGAGGAGAGGAGAGTCGAGTGGACTGAAAACCCTCCAGAATACTGAGGGCGAGTGTAAGAGATATTATTTATACTGGCCCAGTCATACAATATAAAAATGGGAGAAATTACAACAGTACCCTTGCGGTACTAAACCTGAGTACACAAAACAACTGTCAACACTCCCCCTCAAGTTGGAGCATAGATATCAATCATGCCCAACTTGTCACAAAGATCATGATGTCTGGAATGGTTTAAACCCTTTGTAAAGATGTCTGCAAGTTGGCTCTCAGAATTTGACATAGGGAGTACACACTTCGCCTATGATAACTTTCTCTCTGATAAAATGCTTGTCAAATTCGATGTGTTTTGTTCTATCATGTAGCATCGGATTGGCAACAATGCTTATAGCTGCTTTGTTATCACAGAATAGAGTTATAGGTTTGTCCACCGGGAAACCCAACTCACCCAACAAATTCTTTATCCACATGCCTTCAGCAACCCCGTGGGCCATAGCACGATATTCAGCTTCAGCACTGGATCTAGCCACCACATT